GTGGTCTTGCTTCTCCATGAAGGGGTGGCAAAAATTTCAAATGCCCTGTGGCAAACACCGGCCTCATTGGCCCCCATCTCCAAGAGTGCAGAATACAAGTATTTTGTACCCACCAAGGGGCATGAATACCAATACACCCACCCTGCTCCTAACTCCCTGGTGGTCGAGGCGGTCAACCACAGGGAACGACAGGGCCAGCCAGCCCCTACCCTGAAAAATAAAGATTTGTGGAGGCTGGACTCTTTTGGAAGGAAAATTTATTTGTCCTCAAGCTTCCAGTTATGGGTGGCGAACCACCAGGCTCTCCTGGGCTGATATGAGTTCAATCTGTGGGGCTCCCTGCCCAAGTTCGAGGACTCTCTCCAGGAGCGCGGCAGGAAGGAGTTCAAAGTGCTGGTGGAGGAGGGTACAGTGGCTGCCAGAGCAACCCTGCAGGCAGCGTCGGATGCAGCAGGCACGGCCGCAAGGTCCATGGCCTCAGCGGTGTCCATGAGAAGGGTTTTGTGGCTCCTGCTCTCTAGGGTGTCCAGTGAGGCACAGACCTCCCTGCAGGACCTCCCGTTTGACGGCAAAGCTCTGTTTGCGGAACAAACGGATACAAAGCTGCATGGCCTGAAAGACTCCCACATGACTCTCCAGACTCTGGGTCTCTATGTTCCAGCTCCAGCTAAACCTAAGTTCAAGCCGCAGCAGACTCCCGCTCAGGCCACCCACCCAAAATATGAGACTGCTTATAAGAAGTCGCGGGACTATGAGGCGCCCACAGAGGCAGTCTCGCCCTACTCCCCAGCCTGGGTCCTCCAAGGTCAAGCAGGTGGGGAAAAGGCAGTTTTGACGGGATGCCTGGGGGTGCCCTGCCATTTCTCATCAGGAATCCACCCCCAATAAAGCTTCCCTTCTCCAATTGGTTGTGTGCTATCCTCCCGGAGTGGTCGCGGCTGACATCGGACCGATGGGTCCTCAACACCATCTCCTGGGGCTACACCCTCCAGTTTACTTCCTCCCTGCCCAACCACCGCCCGCCCCCGTCCCTCCCGGGGAGACCCCTCGCACGAGGCCCTGCTCGAGCAGGAGGTGGGGTGGCTCCTGGGCCTACGAGCGGTGGAAGCAATACCCAGGGAGTTCAAAGGCAAGGGGTACTACTCTCGCTATATCCTGAAAGCCAAAGGGGGGCTCAGGCCCATCTTGGACCTGCGAGGCCTAAACCAGTACACGGTGAAGCTCACGTTCTGTATGGTCTCCTTGGCTTCCATCATTCCCTCCCTGGATCCCGGGGACTGGTACGCCGCCCTTGATCTGCAGAACGCGTACTTCCACATTCATATATTCGAGGGGTACAGACGCTTCCTCCGTTTCACTGTGGGGAAGGAACACTACCAATTTACGGTCCTCCCATTTGGCCTGTCCACCTTAGGCGCCGGGGGGGGGGGATCCAGATCTTCCCCTATCTGGATGACTGGTTGGTCAAGGGAAGCTGCTGGTCGCAGGTGTGGGATCACATGGCGCTCCTTCTGTCCAAGTGGGCCTGTTGGTAAACAACACCAAGTCCACGTTAGTCACGGTTCAACGCACAGAGTTCATCGGGGCGGTCCTGGACACCTCGTCGTCCAGAGCCTCCCTCCAACTGGACAGGTTCAAGACCCTGAAGGGACTCATCAACACGGTCACAAGGTTTCTGGTGACAACAGCCAGAGCATGCCTTCAGCTCTTGGGTCATATGTCGGCGTGCACATATGTGGTTGGTCACGCCAGACTCAGGATGAGGCCCCTCCAGCTCTGGTTGGCCTTGGAGTTCTCCCAGGCCAGGGACAGGATGGACAAATTCCTCACGGTACCCGAACCAGTGCTCACCTCCCTACGGTGGTGGTCTTCCTCGGGAAACATGATTCAAGGGGTCCCGTTCAGGGGCAAGGCCCCGTTGCTGGAGCTGGTGTCTGACACATCGGACCTGGGATGGGGGGCCCATGTGTGGAACGTTCAGACCCAGGGTCTGTGGTCGGCTCGGGATTTGACCCTCCACATAAACGTCAAGGAACTCAGGGCGGTACGGCTGATGTGCATGACCTTCTGCTCGCACCTGGAGGGCCGGGTGGTCAGGGTCCTCACGGACAACACGGCCTCGATGTTCTACATCAACAGGCAAGGCAGGGCCCGATCCTCTGCCGCGAAGGCCTCAGGCTGTGGGACTTCTGTAGAGCCCACGACATTTTCCTACAGGCCTTCCATTTGCCGGGCACCCGGAACACGCTGGTGGATCGCTTGAGCAGGGACTTCTCCTCTCAGCACGAGTGGTCTCTCCACCCAGAGGTGGTGCACAGACTTTTTCAAGTGTGGGGAACTCCCTAGGTGGACCTGTTCGCGACTCGGCAGAACCGTCGCTGTCCCCAGTTTTGCTCCGGGGGGGGGGGGGGGGGGGGGGCGGGGACAGGGTGCTATCTCCGATGGCTTCCTCCTGCCCTGGTCAGGCCAGTTTCTCTCGTTCCTGCTGATCAGCAAGGTCCTGGAAAAGATAAAGATGGACAGGGCCCGGGTCCTTCTGATTGCCCCGGCGTGGTCCAGACAGCATTGGTACGGGACCCTCATGGACCTGGCGGTCGCCCTGCCGTGGCCATTGCTGTCCCGCCCAGACCTGCTCTCCCAGTACCAGGGCCACCTACTCCACCCCAACCTAGCAGCACTCCACCTCACGGCATGGCTGCTCAATGGTTAGGTAGGGAGGAGAGGACGTGCTCAGAAGGGGTTCAGCGCGTCCTCCTAGAAAGCAGGCGGCCCTCTACGCGCCGAGCCTACTTGGCAAAGTGGTCTCGGTTTTCCAGATGGGCGGACGAGCGGTGCGTTTCCCCGGTGGCCGCCCCGATCCACCTTATCCTGGACTACCTCCTTCACCTTAGAGCCCAGGGCCTGGCACCCTCATCAGTCAAGATGCATCTGGCAGCCATATCGGCCTTCCATCCGCCAGTGCAGGGCCACACAGTATTCTCCCATGCTATGGCTGGCCAATTCCTTAAGGGGTTGGATCATCTCTTCTGTATGTTAGGCCCCCAGTCCCACAGTGGGACCTAAACTTGGTGTTGGCCTGTCTCACGGGGCCCCCATTTGAGCCGCTAGCCACGTGCTCCTGGTCACACCTCTCGTGGAAGGTGGCCTTCCTGGTTGCGATCACGTCGGCTAGGCGGGTCTTGGAGCTCAGGGCCATGACCTCCAAGCCCCAGTACACGGTGTTTCATAAGGATAAGGTCCAGCTCCACCCACACCCCTCTTTCCTCCCGAAGGTGGTCTCCGCCTATCACATGGGTCAGGACATTTTTCTGCCGATCCTCTGCCCCAAGTCCCATGCGTCCAGTAGGGAGCGCCACCTCCACACGCCGGATGTGGGACAGGCTCTGGCTTTCTACCTGGAGCGGACTAAGCCATTCAGAAAGTCCTTGCAACTTTTTCGTTGCCTCAGCCGAGCGCATGAAAGGTCAGCCGATCTCCACTCAGCAGCTCTCCACCTGGATCGCCTCGTGCATCCATATCTGTTATGACCTGGAGGGAATCCCTCCGCCACAAATTGTGAAGGCACACTTGACTCGGGTGCAGGCCTCGTCAGCTGCCTTTTTGGCCCACGTCCCCATTCAGGACATTTGTAGGGCTGCCACGTGGTCTTCAGTTCACACATTCACCTCGCACTATGCGATTGTCTCCCAGACCAGGGATGACGCCGGGTTCGGCAGAGCTGTGCTCCGTCCCGAGAATTTGTGAACTTCTACCCACCTCCAACAGATATAGCTTGGAATCACCTACTATGGAATATACATGAGCAATCACTCGAAGAAGAAAAGACAGTTACCTTTTCCGTACCTGGTGTTCTTCGAGATGTGTTGCTCATGTCTATTCCACATCCCGCCCTCCTTCCCCTCTGTCGGAGTTGTCTGGCAAGAAGGAACTGAGGGTGGGGGGAGTGTGCAGCGCCCCTTATACCGCTCCATGGAGGTGCCACTCCAGGGGTCGCTGGGGTGCTCCTCTACGGGTACTGCTAGGGGAAAAACTTGCAGCACTGGTGCATGTGGCAAGCACGCACACATATTGTGGAATAGACATGAGCAACACATCTCGAAGAACACCAGTTACGGAAAAGGTAACAGTCTTTTCTAGCTCAGGTGGTAGTCCCCAGGACTGCTATTGAATTTGGTATTCTCCTCTGTTATCTGCTTCCTTGACCAATAATTCTTGATATTAACATGACACAAGTTTCAGTTTTGTTAATCTACTAAACTAATATTGAATATTTCAGAACACGTTGTGACTGGGGTTATTCCTTTCTGAGGGCTCAATCCTCCCATTGAAGGCAGTGCAAAACTCCCACAAGCTTCAGAGTGGAGTACGTTTGGGCCTTTGGTATACGCCCAATACTGGTCAGAGTGAACAGATTTATAAATTGCAAAACACAAACTAAATATTATGAAATAGCAGAGTAGTGATTCTAATTACTGTTGCAGTCTGAGCGCATTAATGTCACTTTCTGTTAAGTGCTCTGGTACTTTAAATTTATTGCTGGTCTTTTGCTGTTCTGTTTTAGCTGCCTTACTGCAAGCTTATTCTGCAGTTGCACTGAGCAAGTGGTTCTCAAACTATGGTCCGTGGATTGGTGGTCTACGGAACACTGGCTGATGGTCCACAAACAGCAAGCTGGTCTCATGGTACTGGCTTCTCCTCCCTCTTTTCAACTGCCAAATCAAATTTAAAAAGCAGTTAAAAATGCTGACGGGGAAAATAATATTAGGGCAGCAATTTCTGTAGTTGCCACATGGTTATTATGTGATCATGAGTAGTGGGGGAGAGGTGGTCCACATAATCATATTGGGAGGAGAGGTAGTCCATGAGGCAATATGTCTGTTAAGTTGTGGTCCACTCTGTGGAAAATGTTTGAGAACCTTGCATTGAGCATTTGAGTTGCTTATGTTGAGACTGTGTTGCTGCTCCTTAATCATGCATGTTGCACCTCCATTTCTGTGCAGATTGCAGCCCCCCTCCTGAAGAGTCCAGCCCAGGTATGTGCGTTTTCCATTCATGGCTTCTGCAAATTGCAATTTTTGTTTGTATTTAACAGTGGAACAAGTGTTTTGCTGATGTGATATCTAATACTGCATTGGAAGGATGTGCAAGGAAAAATGTTATTTTTTCCCAATCAGTCCCTTTTTACCAAATAAAAACCTGGTAGGAGGAAGACATGGAAGAAGAAATAGCTACAAGTATCGCTTAACTTCTATAAACACATACTGTCTCACCGTGAAATCTGATAGGTTATTATTTCCTAAAGAGAAGTGGAACAGGCTCACTGTAGAGTCTGGTAGCTTTATACGTTGATAGATGAGAAATGTTCAGTGACATTACCTTTAATTTCTCTAGTTGACAAGTTCTAGTAAATTGATTTGAGAAGTGCTAATGTAGGACCTGTTCCAAAGGCCATGGAAATCAATTGTAATCTGATTATTGATTTCAATGGACCTTAGATAATGCCGTGTATTGGGTGCTAACTTTAGTATTCTGAATGGGCATTAGGAAATGGAGCAATCTGATTGGATGATAGAGGGTAAGTAATTGCTTTGTGGGTGTGCCACAGCATTGTAGGCCATCGGAAACCTAACTTTCAGAACATAAATTTGAAATAGTTTGATTTCGTTGTCTGAATGAATAATCTGGTTTTCAGAGCTGCTGAGCACCTGCAGCTCTCGCCAGAGTTAAATTACAGCTTCAGGTGCCCAGTACTTTGATATATGACCCTACCTTTATTGCTGTATTCTTTTTACTGCTGTGGAAAAGGAAGATATAAACTTTAAAAACAAAACACACTCACGCAACTTTTCCCCAGTACATCTCTGTGTGTGCACATTAACTTAAATAGACTTTCCAGGGACAAAAGCAATAGCGCTTGCATGCAGTAGTCCCGAGAGGCGCTACTATATGTCTTAATAGGTCATTTCAGTATCTAATTTCTGTGCTCCATTTTCCATCATCACAGCCTCTCAGCTATAGAAGCTCTTTCTCTTCCTCCCTTATGCAGTGTTTTTCTGCATTCTTTTTATCTCATTATTTCCATAGGTTCTTCCCTATGGAAAGCAAAATGTCCCTGGAGGTCTCTCCCATTCAGGCCTTCCTCCTGGCTTCCTAATAGCAATAAGAAAAATAAAGAAGACATATGGAGCCAAATCCTGACATCCTTTACCAAGCAAGACTGCCATTGACTTCCATGGGTACTGTCTCTTAGTAAGGACTCTGCGATTTGGCCTTCAGTCTGAAGCAACTTTTTAACATAAAATTAGAAACTTTGATAAAAGGGGGGTATTTATAAACAAATGGCAACTTTGAACTTTTTTGACCAGATCTTCAGCTGCTGTAAATCAGCATAATTGTCCCTCTCACTTCCCTCCACACCTTCATTTACTTTGAAAGTAATATTGACTTCAGCGGAGCTATGATGATTTACCCTAGCTATGGGTTTGCCTGTCACCAGATCGGGCACCTCCCGAGCGCCTCGTTGTGGCCTGGGATCATAATCATGGGCCTTCTTAGACTCTGCACATCCTTTTTGTCCATTCACAAACCCCTTCTTGTGGTCTGGGTTTATTCAGATAAAATAAACTAAAAAGTAAAACTCAGAGCCCCAAAACAAAATCCATCCATGTTACCCTCTTGTTAGGTCATTCCCAGGCCTCTCCTGCTTGTAGTCTCAGTCTCACATCCCAGGACTCCCTGCTGGAATCTGCTCACTCCTCCTCATCTGTGATCTCCCTGAGCATCTGCACTTCACTGCAGCCTCCTGCTGCTCTTTCTAGGGAAATCACCTTATCCATACCCAGGTGTGGCCCCCTAATAATCAGAATTGGTTGGCCCCAACCCTCCAGCCCTTCAGGGGCAAGCCATCCTGTTAATTGTCCCATAGAGTATGTATTGCCATTAAAGTGTTCTGGTGATTTCATAAAATGTAAGAGCAGAGCTCAAGTGGATTTGTTGTCACAACAGAATTAAAGTACCTGACAGTGTTTCAAAATCTTTTATTTGTTTTATAGAATATATAGTTCCAACAATAAAATCCTGTTAAGAATATTGTTAAAGAAAACACAAACAAAAACCCGATTGAGGAAAGTGTATACATGAGTACTATAGACAATTTATTTTAAAACTGCCAGTGGATGTCCAATCCTGATGTGAATCTGTCAGTTACTATTCTTTTCCTCTTTGTTTATAGTCAGTTGCTGCTGCTGCTGTCAGATTTCTTTAATTTACATGTGTGGCATCTCTCCTCTCAGATTAGAGGGAAAAGCAATGTCACACTGTTAAATGACGAGATTTGAATTTCAGTATCAATGTTCCAAACCATAAATAAAATATACCAATAGAGGAAAGGTTAGCGCAGTCCCACAGAGCCACAAGAGCTTACGTTACATAACAGCTGAACCTTGGAAAATAATCCAAGAATTGCATTATCTTTCTGAATTCTGTTTTTATAATGCTACTGATTTACAGTTTGATTAAAACAGGTATCCATGTTTTTTTTTAATGGATTTGTTGACAAAGACATATAATAATTTTGAATTTTAACTCCCCCTGGATTATTTAGAAAGTTAAATATTGCCATGTGTTGGAATGGCTACATTCTAGAAGATATTTTCCATTCTTTTTATCCTTTTATACAAAGCTCTTTAAAGCAAATAATGAGAAATCATTTCTTTAAAATAATCTGTATTTTGCTTTCTGAGGGTTCATAGTTCCAGATTAGGGCATTTGATTATTTTAGAAAAACTGTATAATAGAGAATAAAAGACAAGCTGTAATTCTTTCAGTTAGCTCTTCTGAGCTCTTCTGAGCTACTAAAGTAAGGTACTGTAATTATATGCAGTGGAACAGAGCCAAATAACTTTCCTTCATTTAGTTTATTAGATTATCTATCTGTCTACTGCATAGGACAGAGGTTTTAATAGCACAGTAATGCTGGACTTGTCATTTATGATGTTTCTGTTAGCAAGTTTCCATAACTTCCCTCTTTGGATGGTTATCAGGGAAAATTGTATTGTTGTTGGCTCTTAACCATAGACTTCAATTGAAGTCCTGAACAGCTTCCTGTCAGAGGCCTGAAGTGATCCTGTTTTTGCATGATTATGATCTGTACATCACCTTGTATGGTGCGGCCAGCTAGTCTGGTGGTGGTATGACTTCCATTTTTGGACTGTACTGTATGTTGAAAATAAAACTGATTTAAATAGCAGTTTTCCCTTTTTAAATTCCTATTTTAAAAAAGACCAAAAGCAGAACACCTTTCTACCCTGTCTTGAACTATGGAAAAAGTTTCGACACAGTGTCTGATTAACTTTTTTCACAGAATGATGAAAGTGGGCTTAAAAAACTGGAGGATGATTAAGATGGGAGGGGGTGGGAAGGAAGTAGAATAATGAAAAACTGAACTACTGGGGCTTTTTATGGTACATGAGTATTAGAGAGGTAGGGTGGTGCAATGGTTAGGGTACTAGCATGGGAATCTGGAAACTTAGGTTCAGTTCCCTGCTCTGTCACTGGCTTCATGGGTGACCTTAGGCCTGGGAAATCACTTAGTCTTGCTGCAAAATGGGGATAATAGGATTTCCCTACATCACAGGGGTGTTATGAGGATAAATACATTGACGATTGTGAGGTGCTCAGATGCTGTGGTGCTGGGGGCCATGTAAATACCACACAAGGATAAAATAGATTTAGGAGAAGCCTTTTTGACACCAAGGGGCAGAAGAAATTTGGTAGCAATTAGCTATACTGTGTATCTGTTACAGAATACAATTCGGCTTTCTTTCCTCCTATCTTCCTCCCCTTGAATAGTGCTTTATAAATCAGTTAGTCTGCTGCCTGCTCTCTGTAGGCAAACATGGCAGCTGTTGTATGCTCAAGAATATCCACCACCCCAGCCTTACCCAGGAGAGCCGCCTTTATTGTTCTGTTGTAATAACAATTCTTTTAAGCACATTACAGTATGGTGCTGAATAGCACTGGAAATAAATGGGCCAGCCAGGAAAAATAAGCTGCTGTTAGACTATGCTAAATACTTATTATCAGTAGTGTTCAACTTTAAATTGAGCCAGAAAGTTTCTTAGGACAATGGCTTTAACACATTTTTCTTTTTCAAAATAAAAGTATTTAAAATGTCTTTTTAATTTTTTTTAACCAGGTGAATGGAGTGAGGCTCTTTACCCCTTGCTGACAACGCTCACGGACTGTGTAGCCATGATGAGTGACAAGGCAAAGAAAGCTATGGTCTTTTTGTTAATGCAAGATAGCGCTCCTACAATAGCTCTGTGCCTGAGCCTTCAATATCGCAGGGATGTTGTCTTCTGCCAAACTGTAAGCAAGAAAGTTGCCTGATATGATTACAGTTAGACTTGTGGTGGGTTTTTTAAGAGTCTGAGAGATTAATGTGGTTAGAACTGATAATCTTTTATACTTACCGTCTTAACAGCAGTGTAGAAATCAAATGCAGCCTCCCCTCTTGTGCACCGTGCTGTTCAGATATAGCCATAGGAAAAATAGTACTGCATATAGGTATCTACCAATAAAATGAATTGTCTGCCATCTCTGTACTGTATATTCATTTAAAAATTATGCTAATTTAGTAGAGTTGTCGATTAATCACAGTTAATTCACGCGGTTAATTAAAAAAAATTAATCGTGATTAAAAAAATTTATCGCGATTAATTGCAGTTTTAAACACACTGTTAAACAATAGAATACCAATTTAAATTTATTAAATATTTTGATGTTTCTCTACATTTTCATATATATTGTATTCTGTATTCTCATTGAAATCAAAGTGTATATTATTTTTATTACAAATATTTGCACTGTAAAATGATAAACAAAAGAAATAGTATTTTTCAATTCACCTCATACAAGTACTGTAGTGCAATCTCTTTGTCGTGAAAATGCAATTTACAAATGTAGAGTTTTTTTTCTTATATAACTGCACTCAAAAACAAAACAATGTAAAACTTCAGAGCCTACAAGTCCACTCAGTCCTACTTCTTGGTCAGCCAATTGCTAAGACAAACAAGTTTGTTTACATTTAAAGGCGATAATGCTGCCCTCTTCTTATTTACAATGTCACCAGAAAGTGAGAACAGGCATTTGCATGGCACTTTTTGTAGCTGGCATTGCAAGGTATTTACATGCCCGATATGCTAAATATTCGTATGCCCCTTCGTGCTTCGGCCGCCATTCCAGAGGACATGCTTCCATGCTGATGACGCTCATTAAAAAAAAAAAGGGTTAAATAAATTTGTGACTGAACTTCTTGGGGGGAGAATTGTATGTCCCCTGCTCTGTTTTACCCGCATTCTGCCATATATTTCATGTTATAGTAGTCTCGGATGATGACCCAGCACATGTTGTTCATTTTAAGAACATTTTCACTGCAGATTTGAGAAAACACAAAGAAGGTACCAATGTGAGATTTCTAAAGATAGCTACAGCACTCGACACAGGGTTTAAGGCTCTGAAGTGTCTTTCAAAATCTGAGAGGGACGAGATATGGAGCATGCTTTCAGAAGTCTTAAAAGAGCAACACTCCAATGTGGAAACTAGAGAACCCGAACCACCAAAAAAGAAAATCAACCTTCTGCTGGTGGCGTCTCACGCAGATAATGAAAATGAATATGCGTTGGTCCACACTGCTTTGTATGGTTATCGAGCATAACCCGTGATCAGCATGGACGCATGTCCCCTGGAATGGTGGTTGAAGCATGAAGGGACATATGAATCTTTAGCGTATCTGGCAAGTAAATATCTTGCGACCCTGGCTACAACAGTGCCATGAGAACACCTGTTCTCACTTTCCGGTAACATTATAACAAGAAGCGGGCAATATTATCTCCTGCAAATGTAAATAAACTTGTTTGTCTAAGCAATTGGCTGAACAAGATGTAGGACTGAGTGGACTTGCAGACTCTAAAAATTTTACATTGTTTTATTTTTGAATGCAGTTATTTTTTTTACTTAATTCTACATTTGTAAGTTCAACTTTAATGATAAAGTGATTGCACTACAGTACTTGTATTAGGTGAATTGAAAAATACTATTTCTTTTGTTTCTTTACAGTGCAAATACTTTTAATAAAAAATAAATATAAAGTGAGCACTGTACACTTTGTCTTCTGTTTTGTAATTGAAATCAATATATTTGAAAATGTAGAAAACATCCAAAAATATTTAAATAAATGGTATTCTATTATTATTTAACAGTGCGATTAATCCCGATTAATTTTTTTAATCGCTTGAGAGCCCTATAATTAAGGCAATAACACTGCTGCGTAAAAAGCAAACAAACAGAAGCGGCGGAGGGAGAAGAAAATATGATCAGTAAAACATTTCTCCCTGACCTGCAATAGATTATTGCCTGCATCAAGTGCAAAACTGACAAATATTATTTTGAATATGTTACTTAAAGCAGGGCTCCAAAATGTATCAGATATCAGTGGAAAGATTTGAGGAGGAGGGAACCAACAACGTCTAAGGCCATGTCTATGCCGTAGTCGAAGGTGTAATTTGAAGTTTGCGTAGGCATACATGCACTACCTAGCTAGCACAGCTAAAAATAACAGTGAAGTCATGGCTGCATGGGCTATTACAAGCCCTTCTGGGTCCCCTGGGCATGCACTCGTGTTGTATGCACTGCAGCCTGTGCTGCCACATCTTCGCTGCTATTTTTAGTGAGATAACTAGATTAAGCTAGAGTGGGTATGTGTAGCTGAGCTGCAGTCACACCTCTGACTGCAGTGTAGACATGGCTTTAGGGTAATTCACTGGAGAGACGTCCAGCTCCCAACCCCAGCTGCTTGGAAAGGTGAGGGTGCTTGGATTTCTATTCAAGTGCTGGCCCTGCTTGGGGGCTCAGACTTTCATGTCTGCCTCTGACTAGAAGATGTCTGATAAATTTGAAGGGCTTCCCACATGTCTGTCTGCTGAAAGACAGAAGGAGCTTTCGCACTCTCTTCTCACAACTGAGAGAGCCCGTCTACGCTACTGCTTAAGTTGATCTAACTTGTATCACTCAGGGGTGTGAAAAAGTCAATCCCCAATCGACGCAAATTAGATTGACTTAAACGCTGTCTACACCGGTGCTATGTTGGCGGGAGAGCGTCTCCCACTGACCTCGCTTCTGCGTCTTGCTAAGGTGGAGTAATTATACCGCTGGGCGAGCGCTCTTCCATTGATGTAGTGTGTCTTCACCAGATGTGGTACAGCGGTGCAGCTGTGCCAATGTAGCACTGTAGTGTAGACTTGCCCATAGTCTCCTGACTACTCTGTGCCTTCTGCCCTCCTCCTTAGGCTTCCATTTTCCAGGATCTCCTCCCTCTGTGAATAGCTCCAGAGCCCGTCTCTGCTGTTTCTCCTAGCTTTCCCAAACAACAGCAGAATGAAACCGACAAGATTATTGTTAGTTTTACTACTGCCCTTGGGGTTTTGAATAGTAGAAATGAAAACTTGATGGGAGTCAGTTTTCACTCAGCTGCAGCTTGGCATAGCTCTTAGCAGGAGCAGCAGCACAGGTACTGGAGCAATCTCCCTGCTGACTCAGGTAGATATTTCCTCTAGGGTTCAGTTTCGGAAGTCTGAGTATTGGTTTGCATTTGCTACAATTGGGTGCCATAATATTTTAAATTAAAGCTTAAATTTTGAGTAATTGATACTTACTTTCCTCCTATTCACCAGGGAAAGCTGACAACTTGCCATTGGTGAGTAGGCAAGTAGATTATTCTATGCCCTGTCATAGTCACACAGTCTTTGCTTAAACACATCAGTGCTCTTTGACATCAGCTAAATTGGAGGTTCATTCTGCTAACTTGCTACACGCCATAGAACAAAACATACTCAAATTCTCCTTACAGATATTCCTTATGATTTTAAATCTTTTTGCTCTAGTTATACTTTGTCTAAGAACCTCAAATCAACAAGTTTAATTTTACAGTAACCGTTACCTAGTTTAAATAGTTCAAACAGCCCTTAGCCATCTTCTTTCAGGTGAAATGATCCCCAAAGGAATTTCCATATGGGGATCAATTCAGAGACAATTTTATACAAAAAGCAATTAATAATAGGGGCAATTTCTGTAAACCACTCGCTGCTCTTAACAAGATCTGCGTTTTGAATACAAAAAATGTCCCCCTCATAAATCAAACGTATTTCCTTCGGCTTAATTCTGCAGTGAAATCATAATCCTGTGTTAGTGGTATCAGTCAGTTGCATTGGAAATTACTGTGTTGTTACAAACACGGAATTAAGATCCACCACAGTATTGGGACCTGATCCTGAGAAGTGCTGAGCACCAGCTGTTTCCACTGAAGTCAGCAGGTGTTCTGTGGTTCACAACAGTACAGGGCAATGTTTGCATAAAAAAAACAGGCATTGTAGCCTTTAAACTTTTTTTAAAATGTCAGTGGAATAATTTCTGTTATTAATATTAAATCTAAGTTTCAGAGTTAAAACTAGTTGTGTCTTTTACACCTGTAATTGAAATTGTTTTCCAAGGAAATCTTGGAGATTAATTAATAAAACTTAGATTGTAATACAACTGGTCATGGGAACAAAACTAATAGACCTGAAGGCAACAGGAATCCCTGTAAATCAAATAAAATATTTCCCATTTTTTATTAATATTTCTCTTTAACTATGAGGAAGGAGTGTCACTTCTAAAGAAAAAGAATATCGGTTTGACAGCTGTTACAGCATCTCTTAGATACTACAATGCTTTCATTTTGGATTAGAGACCCATGTTTTCTAGTTATTTTACTTTTGTATTTCTTCTCTTCTGTAGCTGACAGCTCTTATTTGCGGTTTCATTATCAAGCTGAGGAACTGCCTGCATGATGATGGATTCCTAAGGCAGCTCTACACCATTGGTCTGCTGGCGCAGTTTGAAAGCCTTTTGAGCACATATGGTAAAGTCACTCTACATGGGACATTATTTATGAATTGACAAGTTCAGCTTAATATAGGCCACAGTTGCAAAATGAGAGTGCAGGATTTGGAATAATTTGCAGTTCAGCAACAAAAAAGAATTTTGAACTGAACCATAAAACAAAATGATAGTTTAAATATGTATTCAGCTCCTGAAATAGAAGCTTTTGTATTTCTTTCATTTAAATTATTTATATTTCATAAAATAAGACTGTGGTTACTTGATCATACTTGTTCTTTTCTGAAGAGAAATGGAATTAAACTCCAACCAAGTTAAGAGGAACTACTTGCAAAAAATACAATTTGCACTTCCTTGAACCTCCTTAAATACATAATAGAAAGAGAGACTGAAGAGGTATTAGGAGTATGACACTATGAATAAATCCAGATCCACTCATACTACTGTGCAGTATGGAATTAATGCTTTTTGAGCTGATGACAAATTGACAGAATATCGTGCTTATGGATATGACCAGCCTCTGAAGCATTTACTAACATTATTTATCAATGGAAGTATAAAACATAAAGTATACTTTAAGGTTGTAGCCATGGATGTGTTTTCCATCTTTACCAAGATTCATAAAGCCAGTTAAGACTCCAGTCCTGCAATCAAATCAACGTTTACTTCTCTTTGTGTTTGTGGGAGGCTCATTAATGTCAAAGGCTTTTAGCATGGAGGCAAGGGGCTACCCATGTAGATCCAGTTGAAGGATAAGGGGCTCCTACTTCCTTCATAATGCTGGTGAACCCCAATCATATCAAGTATGTATTTGAGACCGGATAAGAGAAAATTAATTATTCATGGAAAGTAATTATTTCAATCCACTTTTCCGCTTCTTGATTTAGGTGAAGAGCTGGCAATGCTGGAGGACATGAATTTGGGAATAATGGATTTGAGAAATGTAACCTTTAAAGTAACTCAGGCCACATCAAATGCATCTGCTGACATGCTGCCAGTCATTACAGGAAATCGGTAATAAAAAAAAAAAAAAAACCTAAACAGAGGAGAAGGGGGGCAGTGGGACTAGAAGAAGGGAAGATAAAAATATACTTGAACCTCAAGTGCAAAACAGCCAATATCTGGATATATTTTACAATCCCAACATTTCAAATAGAATGATTTTGAAGCTGATCTTGATTAATTTTTATTTTACAAACAGCTAAACTGAAAAGTGCATAACAAGATGACGCCAGAAAGATGACAAACTTGTTATCATGTGTAAATATTAAGTTGTCCTGGCTTTTCATAATCACAAGGGTTTCAAGCATTTTTGAAGTCTCATCCTAAAAAAATCAAAAAATAAAAAGTCTATTTGAATTAACAAAAGGCTGTTTTCCAATACACACTAGGATTTGTTACAGCTTTATTCTGGTGAGAATAGCAAAGCTTTGACACCACCAGAACAACCCATTGAATCGGACACTTCAACCTGCCATCTAGTCAGTTAGGCCACAGTCCTGCTCCTGGCACAATACCAGCAGATCCTTGCACCCATGTGGAGTCCCATTGAAATCAGCAGGACTCTACACGAATGCAGGGATCTGCCCATAGGGAGCTGGGATCGGGATTGGGGCTTTAGCTAGGGAAGAGCAGGACCCTCGCTGAACTAAATGAGTTTCTTTATAATTTAGTTGAGATTTTAACTGATGTACTTTTAGTCCAATAAGAGAAGATAAATACAGGATTTTAAACCAATACAAGGGCAAAACAAGATATTGGGGACATTAAATGTAGACGTGAGCATGTCTTTTCACCTTCAGTTAGACTACAGAAAATGAAGCACCATTTCTAAAACCAAATTGTAATTTTTGTGATGTTAGCTTTATGTTGAGGGGAAATTGCTGTTTGTGGTGTTCTGCTTCTGTCCACTAAAAACTGCAAATTTGGCCTAACAATACTCTTTCCCCCTCCATCCAATGTAAGACAGACTGACTTTTTTAATATAATATTTTCATAGGCTCCTTAGCACAGTGGTTGAAAGCTTTTTAAAGTATCATTGTGGTCAGAAAAATAACTGTAAAAATTCTGTATTTGTTCTCCCATTGACCTCTGTATCAAATTGCCCATTTTACAAGTTCCCCACCCTCCAACTCATAAATGCCAGTCCTGCAAATTCAATCTAGTGCTTGTAAGTCAAGTGGGTTCTTCTTGCTTCTGTCATCATCAGTAATAAAGATTTTGAAATCAAAGTTACCAGACTGTTGTTGATGTGTGAGGCACACTAAAATCCAGCTTGTTCTCCCAGAGCTGTGTGCACTCTGCAGTACTAAATTAAATGAAAACTAATTTTTGACAGCAAGGTAAACAGATAAAACACAAAAGGTAAACACATCAGGACGTAAACTGAGTGCTGCAGTTTTTAAATTGCTTTCTTTTCTGACCAGTACGAAGCTTAAAAGCACTAGCATGTCTTTGATACCCTATTAATAATTTGCTGTATGTTCAGCTATTATTCTTTGCAAAAAGAAATGTCACATTTTTAAAAATACAGATCAGTAAGCAAATGTCTTAGTTGTAATATTTTCCGTTTGTTTGTTTGAAGTGATGGATTTAATGTGAGGATTCCTTTGCCAAGCGCCTTGTTTGATTCGTTGCCCCGGGAGATTCAGAGCGGCATGCTACTGAGAGTTCAGCCTGTTCTTTTCAACGTGGGAATCAATGAGCAGCAAACCCTAGCAGAGAGGTACATATCCAATCACAAAAGTTCAAGCTTAAACGATGTGAGATAACCTTTTACTCTGCTGGAAATACATTTCTGCGATGATGGAATACCTTGCTTTATTGTCATAAAAGAAAATAAATGCTGGATAAATAAAGGCATGTTTCTCAGTCACATATCTTTGGATCAGTGACTACAGCCTCCTCCTTAGTCCTGCTCATTGCTGTTTTGTACCCCTTTTACCTGTCTCTGGCAAGACAACAGGGCAAAAGTTCTCAGCAAAAGTTTCAGATGGTATTTTCCCAAACCAAATTAACTTGAAATTTCCAAATGAATGGGCTTTTAATATTGAAAGATAGAGAAACCAAGATTTTAAGTATAACTGCCATAGCCTGAGTGTGTGTGTATGCACCTACACATAATTTTATTCCTGGAATAAATCTCTTTAGCTTTTTATACTGCACTCCTCACTGAGTAGAGGATTGAACTTTCAGGAATTTTACAGGTTGAATCTTTAAGTCACCCTCTCACGCTTAAATGTCAGGGGAAAAAAAAGGAATAAAGGTATCTCTGGGCTAATGTTGTGCCCTTTTCTCATCTTTAAAGGTTTGGAGACACCTCGTTACAAGAAATAATTAATATGGAGAGTTTAGTTCGGTTGAATTCCTATTTTGAGCAGTTCAAGGAAGTTTTGCCTGATGATTGTAAGTACTCAGTAACTTATAGCAGATAGATATAGTATTTTTCATTTAAATAGCTGACTAGTTTGTATCAAATTAATTGTTTAAATGTTGAAACTACTCCAGTATCAATGGCACCAGAGCAGCGATGAAACTATGTGTTGCAATTTCAGAGTTAAATAGCATTATATAAAATGATTTGCGGCTCACTCTGATTGAACTTTTATCCTTCTATGAGTGGTATATTTACTTATAAAATGTATGACTGCTGGGGGAAAATTAGACAAGTGAATATTTTCACAGCTGGTACCATGGCAGAAACTCTGCCTGCTACTATGGTAGTATTCTCCACATGCATGGTGGTCTGTTGTGAGATCAAGACACCACACCCTGGACACACACCATTCCTTCTGTCTTTCCTTTTAAGCTCCTGTGAAATGATAGCATTTGTAGCCAGTGAGGTTGCTTCAAAGAGTGGAAAACCAGTTGCTAGAGCAGGTATGGAGGCTGCAAGTCAAAATTCCACCCCGTATGAGGGCAAACTTCTTGTACATTTTTCTTATTCTTTTATCTGGAGGCAGGATTGTAAGTATATATGCATGGAACCACAAAATAAGATAGAAGTCAGTTGGCACAACTTTGAAATCACAACCTTTCCTCATATACAAAAACCATTGGGCTCCAAACCACGTTTATGGGATTTGCATCAGACACATACACACAAAACAAATACATAAGCATTCGAAAGGCCAGTAACAACACTAGGGAGATCCCTCCTTCCCCAAACTAAGGCATGTTATCCCCTTCCTCCCTCGCACAGAGGAACATGGGACACTGCCCATCTTTTTAATCACAGTTGGGCCAGATTGCATTCTCAGTTATACTGGATTTATCCTGGTGCAGCTGAGAACAGAATCTGGCCCCCCAGTCTCCAAATTCCCATTAATCCTGTGTAATCACATTCTGTGAAAACTTCACCTACAAAAAGTACATTTGATTTTAATGCAATATTTTGGTGCCACATGTTAAATAATAAAAAATAATTAACTTTCAATGTCCTGTTTTTCTTCTCTCTCTTCATTCTTCTTTATTTTCTTCTCTGTGTGAGGAGTCATTCAAGTCATTTTTTCTTCCCTCTCCAATTCTGTCCTCTCTGTTTTGTTCACTCCTCTCCCTTCTCTCTCCCTTGGCTCATTTAATTCTGTCTCCTGCTTTGCTAGCTCTCACTCTCTCTTTCCTGAGCATTCCTTATCCTGCAGTCTGTTTTCCTCCCCCCTGCGAGAGACCAACTAAGCTAGAAAGAACAGAACAAGTCCTGTCATCTTGTCCACCAGTCTTTATCTTCTTCTGATCTTCCCTAGTCTCTTTCTAACACTCACTGCAGCTCCATCTTTTTTTCATTGTTCCTCTCCTTACCTTCAGAGTGTCCTCCTCTCCCACACCTCTCTTGTTTGTGTCCTTTGTAGGGCTGGAAGGAGGTATGATACTTTCAGAATTAAAACCCTGGGACACCTCTGTGATAGTGTCTTTAGCATGGTGAAATAGTCATTCAAATGACAAAATTACATCTTATTGTAAAAAGTGGGGTCTGGTGCCATTCTTCCAGCTTCCACCTCAATACCATCATGTACATATTTTCTGCACTAGAAGCTTTCTTACAGTAACTTAGTGTTCTGAGTAAGTTTATCTTGAAACATTGAAAAAGTGTCACTAATATGCAATCTGAGCAAAAGAACAGCTTTGATAGTGTCTATACCCATTTGGCTTTTCTCTTCACTCCAAGTACCATTCATCACACTGGATTTCCTGCCACTGGACTGTTTGCTCTGTGTTTACCAGGAATAAAATCTGCTTGGTATTACAATACATCTTGAGCAACTGTTTTGTGATTATATATTAACCAGATACTCTGATTAGTGATGTGAAAAATTGGGAAATTTCAGGTGCCTCAAAAGAAGTTTCTGGGACATCCTATGAAAAGCTGGGGTAAAACCAGATGTATACTTACAGGAGTGAAGGAAGTGAGGGCAGTTCTCTTTCTGCTTCTGTTCCAAGCACATAGTGGTAGTATTTGAGCAGGGTTACAAGCTGAAACAGGCACTATTCTCCATGAGCCCATGCCCAGATCAGGCAGAGCAAGGAGAGTGTCTAACAATTTCCACAGCTGGCGTGGGGCTGCAAAGCAGATGGTTGGTATCAGCAACTACATAAGTGCAAAGGACGAGTGGCTATTGGGGAAACTGCTGGTCCTTTGTTCAAGGGAAGGAGTGCTCTGGGAGCTACAAGATCACTTAAATGGAGACTCAGGAGGAGTCAAGCAGGGTAAATGCATCCCAAAAGCAACTTCTCTGCTTTTCTCCTATTGTCAGAAGAAACTTCCTGCAGGACCCTCCAGACTTGTAGGATCTAAGCACCTCAGGATTTCTGAAGCATGAATTACTCCTGGTTGGAGAGAGGATATGAAGTGTGTTTCTCCTCCATTTTATCCTCTTGGCCTGTTGAGAAACATTTGGAATGGCAGCCTGTACACCCTCCCCACAGCAGGCAGCCTCTCTGTGTAGGGAGCCAGCAGGGCAGACCATTAGGAGTAGCTATTCTCACCGCTTGCTGGTGCCTTGGTACCATCTAGGAGAAGAGACGTGGTCCAAAAACTGAATCACATGGTTCACAGCATGTTTATTTTGTCAGATAATAATTCTCTAAAAGTATATATCACCTCATTTATCCAGATGCAGCTTTAGGATGTGTACAATGTGTACAATTATGTAATAATTGCTGTACAGGACCTTGATACTTATGTACTAAATGATATATAATGCTTGGATTATGAATAGAGGTGACTATTGAAATTTCCATGGCATTTTGAAGGGCTGTCTGGTTTCCTTCAGTAGGAGTCTAATCAAAGACCTTAATTAATTTGAGTTCAGTACTAATAAACAATCCACAGAATGCTGAGTCCTGCAGGGAGAATGCCTCGCTTCACTCAGTAAAGGCTTCTCTGACCAGCTGAGTGAGGCTCACAGGAATCTGAAAGTTTGTGGATACTGTGATGTTGGACATTGAAGGGAGGGCAGAATGTAAAATGAGATTTCCAGAATTCTTGCTATGGCCTCTTGAGGAGGGAAATATGACACCCAACATATAGGATAGTAAACCCATCCTGTTTTTCCTGTGTGATTACTTTGCACTCAGATTCTGATTTCCCAGAGTATGAAATTCTGTGAATATATATATGCAGTTTAGTTTAGCTTTAAATGAAGCTTTAATTTGGGTTGTTAGTGCTAAGTATTTCAGAGTTGCAAAGCTCTGATGAGTTGAAGAGAACATGGCTGAGGTTCTAGCTGGTACATGTAACAGTTCAGCTCAGCCCTGAGAAGTTATAGTTGTGTAACCAATGGCCACTAACGAATAGGAGTTGTTTTTATTTTGTAGGCCTACCTCGATCTCGTAGTCAGACGTGCCTGCCTGAACTGTTAAGGTTTCTGGGACAGAATGTACATGCAAGAAAAAATAAGAATGTTGATATTCTTTGGCAAGCTGCTGAGGTATTTATCATTCTGATTATTGCCACGCTCTGATCGTCTTTTTTTGTACATGTACAGTATATACGCCCCTTTCTTCTTTCAAGTTTATTTTTGTAACCTATATTTCCAAATTTCCCAGTTGTCTTGCAAGTAGATTTTTAAGTGGCCCCTACCTCAAGTCTCTAAGGTCGGAAAGGAAAGTATCCACTTTTAAATCCAATAAATTCTTCACACAGATGTTAGAGGGTGTTTTGGTGGAAGGGTTGGAAGATGTCTTTCCACATGGACTCTTGCACCATTCTCCTCTGGCCTATAGAATAATAGAGACCAGTCTGATAAGCAGATGTCAGAAATCACTAGATTAAAAATGTAAAACACTATCTAAAAGCTCTGTCCAAAATTAAAGACAAATCTTATTACCATCTTGGTGAAATGTCTTTCCAAAATAATTTTTTCGCACAACACCAGTAACTAAAGTTACAGTGGTTCCATCACGCTGCCTCTAATACTAAGACTTTTGACATCAAAGGTCTAAAGTGTGAGCTGATGCAAAATGCAATTTGTATTACAAGGAGGCTTGGGGAGAGGGAAAATAAGTGTGTTCTCTTAGCCAGAGTGTTTCTCACAAAGAAGAAATGATGAATTGTATATCCCACTTCTAGATATGCCGGAGACTAAACGGTGTTCGATTTACAAGTTGTAAAAGTGCCAAGGACAGGACAGCCATGTCAGTGACCCTAGAGCAGTGTTTGATCCTGCAGCATGAACATGGAATGGCTCCTCAGGTCTTCACCCAGGCTCTGGAGTGCATGAGGAGGTAAGAGTTGGACTGCTCACTAGTCACTTATTCCTAATTCAGGATCCATGTAAACTGCAGATGAGTGGTTATCTCTTTTTGGGAAAGGATCAGTTCCATCAAAAAATAAAGTAAAGTAAACCCCACAGGCAATAGCTGGCTGTCAGACCATCTCTCTTTCAATCTTAAATTCCTTGACCTGTGCAAAGTAAAATTGATTATTGCCAAATTTGCACAAGGTTCTCTTTAATGGGCAAGAAACCATTTGTAACCTTAGTTTTCGACAATGTATTGGAAGTGTTCAGAGAAGCACATAAGAGAGACCTTTCAAACAGACTGTCAGTGCTGAGCTACCAGTTGAGCATAGAAGACTAATGCCCACTTGAAAGTCACAATGATTGTGACATTCCCTTGGCTCCCATTATGGTGCTATCTTTTTAATTTAGTTTTTGATCAGGAGGTTTTCTCAGAGATGACCTCTCTGTTCTTTCTTATGTGAAAGGTACGCATCTGCAGGTTGCACTGGTTTGCTATGCTTACTCCTTAGCAGTGAAACAGTTTGCTCACTGGGCAAATTGTCATTATGAGTGTTTCATGATACAGCAACCAAACCCCATCAAAACCTGTCAGTGTTCTGTTGTCATATCAATTTAACAATGTTCTGTATTCTGAAGCAGCAGACATGTTTGCCGAGTTAAATACAAAAATAAATAAATATTTGTTTATTGTTGTTCAATGCCTTGTTTCAAGCACTGCTGGAAAACTCCGTATTTCACATACCAAAAGAAAGGATAAGAAATCTAGTTTTAGTCTCTATTAATGTATTTCAACAATGCTGTTGAGTCCTGTTTTTGACATTCACTCTTACTGAACGTACTGTACTGTGTGTCTTCTCACCAAATTCTCTAAAGTGTTCAATTCTCTTATCCTTTCTGTATGTTTTTGCTATTTGACCCTTTCTTAATCTTCAGTTGCCTACAAGAAAATACTTTACATGATAGCAGCTACAGCCTCTTACTCTGGTAAATTTTGTTTTTTAAATGATCTCACTCCTAGATTTGGTTGGTTGCCTGTAGTCTTTCTTTTTCTCACTTAGTTAATTGCTTTGTGATACTGGACTCATTCATGCTATGTATGAAACCTGTGCATTTAGAGACAACTTATCCCTTGATGTTAGAAGTTGAGGTATCTTGACACAGCACCTTAAGTAGTAAAAAAGTTACAAAGTACTATATGGCAGAAATTCTGTACACAATAGCAAACAAAAGGCCAATAAAGCCAGACACCTCCAGATCCGAAGTCTGACTGTCATCCAAGGTATTTGGATCTAATCTCCGTCAGCAGTATAATTCCTTTTTAGTGTAGCTAAGTTGGATCTTTTCAGTGGTACTAACCGTCATTAAAGGATAACATGGAGGGAAATGGATCTGTTTTTAAAGTAAAATTTTGCAGTTAGTCTTAGGTCACATTCAAGTGCCAGATTAGTGAAGAACTTTCCTCCTCCATTTCTCTCTTTCCTTTGTAGAGTTATTCTCACTATCAACATTCCACTTTGTCAAATGAAACACATACTATTAGGCATAATCTAGTATGTTCCAAATGCAGAATTTTTTGCTCTTTAGGAGTGTCTGCATGAGCCTGGGATAAGTCTAACTGACCTGGATGCCAGTGGTATTCAGTTTTATATTACATGAGTTGATAAAGAGGTGACTTGTTATGGCCTGGTCTTCCCTAGAAAATTGTCAACTTAATTTTGTTGCTCAGAGAAGTGAAAAATCCACATCCATGAGTGGTGTAGTTAAACTGACCTAATCCCCAGTATAGGCAGCGCTAAATCGATGGAAGAATTTTTCTGTCAACCTAGCTACTGCCTCTCGGGGCAGTGGATTACCTAGGCCGACAGGAGAACCCCTCCTGTCAGCATAGGTAGCGTTTACGCTAAGTGCCACAGTGGCGCAACTGCAGTGGTGCAGCCATGCCGCTGTAGCATTTCAAGTGTAGACAAGCTCTACATCTCCTGTGCTTTCGTTCTTTCTTTTTCTTTTCCCTTTCCCATCCTTCTCTTCATTTTCCGTTCTCTGGTTTTCAACCTTGATGTACGTCTTCCTGTCACTTTCAGTGCTTCTTCTTCCCTCCTTCCTTCTTCTTTACCCTCATGTTGTTTTCTCTCTCTCTCCTTCCCCATGTTTCTTTTCCTCTCATTCCAAGATCAAAAAGCTTTGCCTTGTCCCTCACCCAACCCATTCAGTCTAATCTCTCTCTCTAACACTGATCACATTTTCCATTCAGTTCTAGCTCTCCGTTCACTGCCTCCCCTACTCCCACCCAAATCCATTTACATTCCCTTCATCCACTCCCCAGCATTCTCCCTCCATTTAGTTTGCCCCCAATACATATTGATTCCCATCCACTTATCCCAAATATGTTCACCTTTTCGTACCCTAACTTCACATATACACTCCTCCTCAGTCCACCACCATTCTTCACCAGCAGCAGGCCAGGCAGGGGAAGTTGCTTTGGGCATGTTTCTATGCCTGCTCTCTTTCCAAGGGTTGGGCGGAGACAGAGAGATTCCTCTGTCCACCTCATTCCTGCTTACCTGAGGGACCTCCAGGAAGTTTCTAGCTGCCAAAGAGAGTTGAGGTTGCTCAGCACCTTGCACAGAGGCACTTGCTACTCACAAGATTAGGCCCCAAAATTGCAGGTGTTTGTGGCTTTGCGTATTGAAAAGGACAGTAGTAAGAACAGAATAGTGATCCAAAATGAAGAGCTGGGCTGAGAAACCTCAGCTAACCTGGACAGGTGTTCTCTGCTGTTGGCCCTCTTTGCTCAAAAACAGTCTGGGCAGTGAGGATCCATTTTGAGACGATTATTCTGAGACCTGGGGATTCCCCCACTGCCCATGTCCGCAGTTGCATAAATCAAACACTGCCCAAATGTGTGTTTTGAAAAGCATTTTGAGAACAAGTAGAATTCATTTTGAAGCACAATATCTGGTCTGTTGCATTGTAACAGACAGATCAGAGGCTGTTGAATTAGTTCACTGCAACTCACATTGAAGCATGTTTGAAAGGGTCAAATACGACAATGGTTATTCATGTTCAGGTTGCTTTTCGAAGCTCCATTTCTTTGCAGCATGTGGAAGCATGGCAGGGCAGCATGGAATATTGCTTGGCCAATTGAGAGAATGAACATGGAAAACCATTCTTGTTCAACCTACATGTATTTCTTTTCAGTAGACTACAGTATTTATTTTTCTCTTTTTATTCTCTTTCTCTCTCCTTTTATCTGTAATTGTGGTGATTTTTTTGGCATTACTCCACTCTTCCTTTACTCCATGTTTTGATTTTGTTGTGGCTTCTTCCATGTTTTTCATTTCACTTCTTGGTCACCTTGTTTTCCCATCTCTTTTGATACATTTGTTGCATGTCTGCCTTCCTTTCTGTTTTATTTTCCCTTCTCCCAAACTTCTTCCTTTTCACAGCATTGGAACACGGGAGGTAGTCACCCAGAAGAACTTGAGTGGCTTGGTGCCCATCCGAGATTTCGGGCTAGACCCCAGCCTCCTCTACTCTTTTCCTTTACTAGCTCTGAGCCCCAATTTACTGATTGTGTGGCTGTTTCTGAGCGTAGCATACCTGGTGGCCCGATTACGTTGCAAATGAAGACAAGCTTAAAAAAAAACAAAAATAGATAAAAGTGCTTAAATATGTATTGCCACCTGATACCTGCTGGACAAAGGAATGTGTCATAGCAATGTCTGCCAAGAATTATTATTATGCCTTACAATTTTATGTTTATATTGTACTAAACTGTAAATATACATCAAATTATTTTATCAAGAGGAATTGTATTGAAAGTTTAAACCACTGTTATGCTTTCAGTGCTTGTAACATAGTCTGAAGTTGGCTGTTACCTCGTTACTTTAGCTGGCCTGAAGATCAGTTTCTCTTACCAAATATTTCTCTTACGTTCAGATCTAAGAGTCTCTCTCATATATACAGTTTTGTGTTACTTGTTTCATGTATTCCAGAGAAAGGAACTCTGTCTGAAAAGAATTTGTATCTTTTTGTATAATCTTTAAGTGTATGCTAACCTTGCCTTTCATTTTTATGAGATATGAAGAGAAAAATTTAAAATAAATAGGTGGGGTTTATAACAGATGTAACTAGATAAACAAATCTGACACTTTCTACTTCCATTTCAAAGCATAATCGTTAAATTACAGTAGTAAATAGTTTGCAGAACCCATAGTCTTGTTCCTTTCTCATGTTTAAACTATTTCAATAGCATATACTGTACCCGCTCAAAAAAAACCCCCTTGAATTGCGGTGTACTGCATGCAATATTATTCCATTATGTTTACAGGTATACATTTTTGTAGCCTATTTAAGTGAATGACTCTCAGAAAAGGAGAGTAAGTAGTAAAAATAGACTGATAGTGATTCATTGTCTATTTATTCCTTCTTGGGGAAAGATGCTCCATTTTTAAATTATAAAAAAGAGAATTCTGAATCAGGATAATAACTTATAAATTAATTATGTTGACATTTAATATGCCAGGCAAGAAAAGAGGTATATTAGTTAGCTCCCTTAGCATGGTTTCACTGAACTACAAAGCCAAAGCATTTGGGTTTTGTGCAGTGACAATAGACAAAATATTATTGTTATTTCTATTCTTAAATATTTGCTATGTGCACAGATATGGTTATGGGAGCCACATAAGGACCTAGGTAGGTAAATAGATGACAGTGAGTTAATATGTAATTTCTATCATTATTATAATTAGCTCAAATAGGCAAATAGCAGCATTCAGAAAGCCTAGATAGCTGTAACTGTTATATTCATTTTGATGTTTTTTAGAAGCATTTCTGACCAGTAATAATGCAAGATGAAAAAGCAGCTATGTAATTTTGAGGTTAGAATAGACTCTTAAATTCGGGAAATGTTTAATTTCCTGTTATAAATAAATCAGAAAGTACATGGCTATATTTTCGTTGTCTTCACCAAATCAGATTGTACAATACAATGTCTCCTGATTTCCATCCCCTCCCTCACCCCAGATACCCTCTTACCTTTTTTTAAAAAAAAAGGTGAATCTATTTAAATTTATATTTCATTTTTATATATAAAAAAAACTGGAGTGAGTTTGGGAAAGCTTATTGCTGATGAAATTGAAACCATGGCACGCCAGCAATGGAAAATACAAAGCTGATTGGTGGCAGGTATAAATTACTCTGCCACTGCATCTCAGTCCTGATCTTCACACACTTCTGATTCCAGCCTTATTTGTCCCCTGAACAGCCTGCCTTTTGTGCCAAATTCTGTGTTTTTATTATGTGAATAAGTATCCAGTACGGACAAAGGCCTTGATCTAGCAAAATGCTAAGCACACTAGCCCAATCTAACAAGTATGTGCTTAACTTTGAACATGACTAGTCCCATAGAAGTCAGTGGGAATATTCATGTGCTTAAAATTAAGCATGTTTAAATGCTTTGCTGGACTGGGACCAACATGCTTATCATCTTGCAAGATTGAACTCTAATTTAAGAAGCTGATTAGTCTCACTTTGGGTGAACCCTAGGCCTACTTAATTCAATTTCATTTCTTTGGGCCTAGATTTCATCCTTTGTGACCTAGCCTATATTTAAACTCAGGTCTCCAGAGCTGAAAAGCTTAGTGCATGCTGCCAACATGCCTCGACCAGAAGAAATTAATTCTTCACAAAAACTATCACATAATTAAGTTAAGATTCTGGTTCTTCACTACAGTCTCAGTCTTGCACAGTGCCAAGTGCCTGAACTCCCAATATACTCAGCGGATGCTCAGTTGAGGAAGCTCAGCACTTCATAGGACTACTTGACACCTTGCTCGATCCGAACCCTTGCGAAGGATCTCTAATGAGGAGATGGCTGTTATGTCATATCAATGACAGTGTAATAAACATAGGTGCCATTAGTTGAGATGTATTAAGCAGCACAAGATCTCCATTCTTTGCATTTTAGAACACCTTTTAGTAACTTTGGGTGGTGGCATGAAGGAGCAATACTGTACCTTTATAATTAAGCTGGTTACCTTTGGGCAGGAGGTTTCACATTCATTTAATTAAATGTTGACAGGTACTAGGGTTAAGGTGCGATATATTTTAATTAATTTAAGGCAAACATAACCCCTACATTTAAGGTAAAAATAACAATTATTGTTATGCCTTTGTGGTCACATATCAAAATATATTATAGATCATATTTAAGATTATATTGAAGGTAGGACTAAAGCTAATAAAATTAAGGAAGCTTGATGCCAGTTGGTGTAGTATCTGATACCAACTCATTCAGTTGTGTCTAGGAATCTCAGTGGTGAAATAAGGATTTATGTTCACTATTAGGTCACGTAAGAAAAAGTGACTCGTGAATTAATATTTCTGGTCACCATTGTTTCCAGTCAAACAGTAAGCCACGTCCTCAGCTGGTATAAACTGACATAGTTCCATTGAAGTTGATGGTATATAGCAGCTAAAAAATCTGGCACAGAAGATATGTGATAGCACGTTATATCTTGTCTTCACATTCACAGGAGGGGGAAAAAGCCCTTGCAGCACCATCACTACGACTCACTTCAGACGTGCAATAACAAGTCATGATGGGATGAATTCTGAACAGTGCTAAACTTACCATTGAATACCCTAACTTTCTGGTTTGTGTCCCATGCTACTGTCCCTTTGTGACATTACCCAGGGTACAATCTGGACTGTTGAACAGCTTAATTCTCTAGCCTGGGGTGTCTTTTATCCTTCTTTGCTGTCAGAACATCCACTCCTGGTCTGCTCACCCAGCCTTCAGTATTCAAAATCACTCCCAGATAAATTACATGAGCACTCTGACCAGTCATTCATGAATTACATATAGGGCGACACCCACAAATTCTTAGTCCCAGCCTTGTTCCTCCAGAAATGTGCATCTTGTACTGCTCAGTAGCCTTCTGTATAAGCTCATAGGAAGTCTCTCATTTCATCAAAGGAAAATGATAATGTACCAGCCTTGTTATCCCAAATGGAGTTCGCACACACTGTAATCCAAACACACTGGTTAAGATAAAACAATAAGATAAGTTTATTAACTACAGAAAGATAGTTTTTAAGTGATTACAAGTGATGATGCATAAAAGTCAGGATTGGTTACAAAATAAAATAAGAGTAAAATGCAAGCTAATGCCTAACTTAACAAGCTAAGTGAACTTAAAAGCAAAAGGTTTTGTCTCACCATACGCTGCAGTAAATTTCACAGGCCGAGTCTCCTTTCAGCCTGAGACGCTGCCCCCTTAGTTCAGTTCTTTGAGAGTGGTTGATGTTATGAGCAGAGATGGAGGAGGAGAGAGGTAAATGGGAGGCCACAGTCTTTCATTCTTATACCACCCTCCCCTCTTTGAGGATTGCCCCCAGCTGGAGTGCAGGTGACAAGTAGTCTCTTGTGGACATGAGATCTGACTCGTCCCTGTGATGGAATGTAAATTTCTTATTCACACCTTCCCATTGCTGAAGAATGGCTGCTTAAGCAGGTGATAGCTCTTTAACACCTGGCTGGGGTGTCAGTGTGTCTTTGTCTCTGAAAAACTTTTTTGGGCCTGCTTTTCTTAACCTTGGAACATGTATAACAATGCTATACAGCCAAATCGTATAACTTCACATACAATGTTGATACACACATTTTACCAGGACAATAATGATCAGCAAACAATAATGTTCAGCAGAGTATGAGTTTTCAACTGATTTCACAAGGCATACTTTGTATAAAATGTATCCTAGTCTTATAAAAGTGGTGAACATAATAATATAGACCATTGCACAATTAAACTTAATGTTTTAATTACAATTAAAAAAAATTGTCCAAGAAAAGGAGAGAAAATGAAAGCAAATCCTTTCTGGAAGTGTATTTTAATGGCTCCTTTGAAGCAATTCAAGTCCATGACATGAAAATATATTCAAGAAATTTTCACAATATATCTCACTCACTTAATTGGCTGTAACAACTTTTGCTGTATTTTGTACACACACAAAGTAAAGGTGTAATGTACATATTGGGATCCATACTATAAAAAATAGTTACTTCACATTTATAGTAAGCAATCCTCAAACTTTAAATAGAGTGGCTTTAGGAGATAAACTTAAGAATACTAAATGCATTTAAAATAGTCAAGAAATAATAAAATTACAATGAATTTAATTAATCAAAATCAAACAAGCCCAGCAATGAGCATAAGCCAGTGTTGGAAGAAGATTTTTAAAGGTAAACAAAACCCAAAGCAACCTTTTAAATTAAGTCACTATGGTTTATCTGGGGTATGTTACATGCTGCTTTTCATCTGTCTTTAAAACAGGAATAATATAGCATTTCAGCCATAAGATGGTGGTATGTACATTTTGCCATCAAGCTAGAGCATTAAATCATTATCGTTATCCATTTTTACCTTCTGTAGTAGAGAGAGAAGAAAACATTCTCATGAGAATCTAAGTTAACTTATAACCTACATTTTTTTAAAAAAGTGCTTCCTCTTTGTAAGTCTGTTTTTGGAAAACAAGGATTTTACATACAATGAAAGGGACTTTGCAGTAGATTTCAGAACCATTATATAGAAGCCTTATAGCTGGGGTAGCTTTCATTATAGCACAGAGCCTCCTCATGGTATGGAGCAACTGCATAGCAACATTAGGTTTGCAATCTAAACTCTGAACAGTTTTGTGTGATGACAGTACATGGAGCCAATCTTTTTTTGCACCCATACAAAGCTGCTGTTTCAGGATTTAGATTCTGCTAGTACAGTTTGTTAATTTTCAAATTAATTTATGCATGCAAAGTTATTTGAAAAGTCATTATTTTTGTATTTACTCTTTAAGTAAGCTTTGATAATACTGGCATACAGGGGACAATAAAATTATTTAAAAAATTCTGTTCAGAGATCAGCAGTTTTTCTTTTTCAACTTAATTTACTAACAAATTAGCAGAACTGTATTTCAGCAGGTTTTTTTATTCCATGTGCAATGAAATGGCATTTAAACTTCACAGTAAAAGTACCCTGAAATACATGAAACCATCTCAAATATAAAAGGTTTGTTCCATTAGATACACTGCTGCTTTTTAGAAATGCAAAACTAGCAATTAAACATAGCATGTGTCCATTCTATGTGCTTCTTAATAGCATTGTTTAATGATCCACCATTTTTAATATTTGCAATGGCAAATGATCCAAACATCCATTGAAACTAATCAACTTTTTTTAATGCTATGAAATAACCAGTTCATTTCATCTTAGTTTAAGTCTTTTATTTATTTATTTTCCTTTTTACTGCTGTCATTTTTTTGTGCTTGTTTTTTTCCCCAGTGAGGGTTGTCGAAGAGAAAATACAATGAAGAATGTTGGATGTCGCAAGTATGCATTTAATTCCCTGCAACTGAAGGCTTTCCCAAAGCATTACAGGCCTCCAGAAGGAACTTATGGAAAAGTTGAAACATAAGCATATTGTGTCCTGTAATTAGCTGTTCCATTAAAACACGGGGATACACTCTAGTTTAATATATGAATTTGTCATCAAGACCAGATAACCAATTTTTGTACATTTCACTAGGTTATATTGAGCATGTTACTTTATTGAATTGGAATCTATGAAGATTATTCTGACACCTTAGTTTGAGATTAGCTTGATGACTCTCTGCCCATTTAATTAGCCTTCAGTGTATGTAAAATGCACAAATACTGGAGCACTGAATAATTACCTAAATGGAAATAGCTTGGTACCTCCAGGATGGTCAAGGACTTTATGAATGGCGTTTAGGCAGGTGTTTCACATAACATCTTTTTATACTGAGTTGACTTGAGATTAAGCTTTTCATAATACTTTTTAAAACTGAGAATAAAACCTCAATGTTGTAAATAGTAAATTAATTGGACCCTGGGCAGTCTGATGAGCGTAGAATGAATGATTACAATCAAGCAACAACGGTTTAATTTTTAAAAAAGAATGTCAGCACAATAAAAGTCAGGAGCTTAAAATGTTTTACTGTGTGTGTATATATAATGCTGTGTTTCATACATGGAGTTAGTAATGTACAAGGCCAGATACTGACATGAAGTCCTATCCTGCTCCAACTTAATCCAAAGTTCCCATTGACTTTACTAGGATCAGGATTGGACCCATAATCACCTTATTTGATTTCAGAAACTTTTTAAATTTTTCGAACACTTATGTGATTGCATTTGATTAGTGGTGAGTGCTAACAAACAATATTGTAAAATTCAAATACAGTTTTATCCCCCCATTACTTATAGTAACTTATAGTATAACAGGCAAGTCAGTAAATTTCATGGTATTGTGTATTAAGTAACACATTTTTCCATGGCTTTTTATATCACTTCAGGTCAATCGTGTTAGTATCTGAAATTTTTTTGATGATATTTTCCATACCTGCTAACTCAACAATGCTCTGTAAATGCCCACCACTGCCCAATCATTCCATAACAAACAATTGTTTCTGTTTAGCATTGCATTTTGCCCAGCTGAGCTCTGTCAGAATAATGTGCAGGGATTATGATTATCATAACATATATTTCTGGTGAATCTAGCAATGTCCTATTTTGATACAAAGTAACTGTTAATGTGTTAAAATCTCATACTTATTCCATCTCATGACTAAGGTGACCAGATAAGCATCCGATAAGAAATGTTCAACAGATCTCCTTGAAAATAGTCTCTGTAAAGGGTATGCATTCTAAAAAATGAATGTAAACATTAATTTCCAGATTTTATCAGGATTAATCTTCCCTAGCCACATTTAGCCCAATATACAATAGTCAAGTCCTCCTTCCCCCTTGGATTCTAAGGAAGTAGGCTTTAGAATGGGAAATACGGTCAGTTTATTCAGAATAGAATAGCAACAGCCAGGTCTGTATGTGGCAGTTCCCTATTTCTTTCTCTGTCTTCCTGGTGTTTGTCTGTGTTCTCGCTGCTCTATCAATCATGTTCATTCTGCTCCCATATACATTTGGGGGTTTTAAGTACCGTGGTTTTCACGTTTTGCTTTTTGCAGTTCAACATTTAACAGTGTGTCACATATGCCAGTTAGACTGTTTTGCTGAACTAGCTTTTTATTATTATTTCAGCCATACTAAGATAACAAAATGGTGAATATTGTGTACGATATGCATATGTCTAGAAGTCTGTAAAAAGTATTAATTCTGCCCCTGTTTTGAATAATTAATTTATGGCTATAGCAGAAACAATCCTTGGGAACTCCACTGGCTCTGTTCACCCCAAATAAAACAACCTGTGTTTGTTTTTTGACAATGTGTAAAACAAATACATGTAAAAAAAATTTTTTCAGTAAGGGTCCTTTGGATTTATATTATTCCATTCATTCTGTTAAACCTGCAATCCCTATTCTGTTATTAAATGCCACATTTCTTTTTATGTAATCTGTACTCTGTAGAACTCAGTTTCTCACTGGTGACATTTAGTTGATCAGTTTATTTCATATATTTTTCAATCATGTAGTTAAGCATATATATAAATTCTTACATTGTTACACAGGAACTCTGTGTTCAATTTTGGAGGGGGAATAATGCAAGAGAGTTATTACAATTACTAGAGCTGTTCACTAGTATTATGGAGTCCTTAATAATTAAATTCACTCTAAATTATAGTGACCTTTATTTATTTTGTATACACACCAAATCTAAATGAATTCCTAAACTCTTTATGTGCATGCTTTTTGCTCACCTTTTTAAAGCAGTGGAACACCAAACTTAAGTACTGCATTATTTTGTGGAGGATATTCTAATTTCTATATACTTCATGTAAAGCATCATTGTTCGGCTAATATTTTATATATACAACATTGCTATTACATGCACATAAATAGGCTTGCTTAAAGGGCATATTGAACAGTAAGATTTTGAGCAGTTCATCTAAAAAGAAAAACTGTGAAACTTTAACTAAACATATAGGAACCTTCACATGAGAGTTTAAGCTTTTCTGTTGCACAGGAAAGACATTAAGGATTATTGTAAAATGAAGTTCTGTCTAATGTTCTTTTTGAATACATTTTTTAAATTATAAAACATACTAAGGTTAAAAAAATGTTGCCAGGTATGTTCTGTGTATGTTCTGTGAAAGCACCCACAGCACAGTTGCCTTTCGTTTCATTTATATATGTAAAGTTATTGTATAATACAATACTGTTTTGTCCCAACACCATTGTATTTGCCAGGCTTTGTGCACTGAAATATTTTTATTTATTTGGTTTTGGGCAGTATTAATATATCATAAACATATGGTTAGTGTTTTATATATTCCTAGTTCATCCAATCCATGTATGCTGTAAATGTGCTCGTCTTTAGGATGAAAAACAATAAAAAACTGACAAGAATATTGAGATGGTGACTTGTTTTTAAATGCATCAGTTTAAGATAAATTAAATCAATACTTTCAAGGTCTTTGGCTCCAAACTTGACCTATCTGATAAAATTTATCTAATGGGGAAGGCACTGGATCTTTTATGGATATGTTTTACACATTTATATGAATAAAATGGAGCTATTTATTTTTTAGATCTTGCTAAAACACTGTGTACACCATAGAAGAATAGCTGTCAGTGTAGTTAAACCAGACACAAATTTGGTCCAATATTCTGGGTAGACTCCACAGTGACATTTAGCAACAAGCTAAATGAGGTAGTTTATGCCACTGCATCTCCAGTTTCTCTAATAACTTCCCAATCCATCCTCACTGCTTGCTGCTTCCCTTCTATTATATAATCTCTTCTCTTCTTGTCCCTCCTTCCACTGCAGCCAGCTCGGCTCTGGAACAACGTTACCTATTTGATCCCTCCCTGTTTCCTCTGCTACTTCCCTGCCCTGTATAGACTGGCATTCATTGTCTACATAGTACAAACGTTCTGCTTGCAAGTCCCTTTCCTCACCATCCATATGAATTAGATCTTGAGGGGAACAGGGTCCCTTTTGAGTGCGTGAACTTCATTTTGGTTTCAGTTGCAATAAATTCTGCATGAATTAAGCAAAAGCTTTTCATGTTCACTGCATTATTTTTTGCTTTGTCTCTGAGTGGTTGAAGAATGGCAAACGCAATTGTATTTGTTTTTGGAAAGATTATTTTTCTACACGCAATGGAAGGACAACAGTAGCAGAAAACAACCAAACAATGTTCAGCATCATCCAAAATGGAGAAAGAAAACATAATTGCCAAGTGTAAAAAATCCTGATTGGTGGAAGGCTAAAAAATCAGTAGTAGGCTTCTAACTAGATACAATAAAATAGTATTTATCTGTGTCCTTTTTAACACGATTTTTTGAATCTATAAAAATACCATTTTGGATCTGATGTGGACCCACAGAAACAAGGATACCCTGGGCTTGACATCACTGCTGAGTTAACTCTAGTTATAACTCGAGTGTTGCCTCTAACTTGAGACCCCGCCACACGCACAAACCTTAACTCAAGTGCAGTGGGGCTTTTAACTCAAGTTGGCTGGCCTGGGAGTGGATACATGCTACAGCCTGAGTCAGCACCACTCATCAGCTGCTGACACAATCACTTTGCGCAGCGTAGAGTCAGCGTGCCCTTGCGCTCACTTGAGTTAACTCTGCAGCGAAGACAAGCCCACAGAGTTCACACTTCCACCCCAAGCTTCTTATCTTGCTGTGCTTAGGCAAATGGGCTCTGAGATGGCTTCAGATGTTGTGCAGCATAAATTGCAAAATGGTCCCTAAGCATAAGAGGATTAGTTACAGATGAAGATGGAACTTTAACACTCAAGTCCTTTATTTTATGGGATGAAGTTTAATCTTGACTATTTGTGCTGGAGTTTTGTTGTTGAGTTTTCTGCTTTTAAAAAATATATCCCATGTACAACTGAATAAGAGAACCTGTAAGACACAAGAGCTGCCATGTTCTGGTTGGATGTAATTCATCCCTGTGCAGACCGACAGCACAAGACTGATGCCCCACTTAAGCCCTCAAGCTATGGCTTGAGTGGGAGCTAAGTGGTTCTTATGCCTTATGCAGGCCCTCAAATGGTAGAGAATTTCACCCATTGCACGTTATCTTTCTGCACATTAATGCAAATTCTTAGCACACAGTCCCATCAAAACAACAGCATAAATGTTATTTATGGAACTAGATTATGCAGAGAAAAAAATAGGTATAACATATTGTACAGTATGCATTAAACTTGCTACAAAAGTGTATTAATGGTGCAATTGTTTTATTGATTGGAATTTGTGTAATGAAACTACACCACTGTTTGATGTAGTTATGCTCTTTCAAAGAATCCCCAGAGACAGTAGTTCAGATTTAATACACAGTCCTTCAAGATCAAATACATAAGTATCTCATTCATTTTGGTAAGACTTTGACTTATTCCTTGTACCCAGGTGTTTTAATGGATGGGGGTGAGGGGGAAACCTGATCTCATCAAAGACTAACTTTTTTTTTTTTTTTAAGTAAGAAATTGTAGAGCCAAATGTTGCCTCTTTGCAGCCCCATGTATGCTTTTCCATGTGCAGATTATTCCTTCCAGGAACAGGCGTATTCTGAGCTGTGGCAAGTTTGTGGAACCACCGTTGGATCAAGACATAAACCTCTTTTAGGAACCACTACTCCTGAGCTGAGGTTGGCATTGAACCAGAACTGATACCATTTCTTCCTCCTGATTCTCCTCTTGGCCACTGCTTTTTTGTGTGAACATATTGCTCAAAGAGAGAATTTGGCCTTCTTTATAAGGATGTGTATTGCTCTTCAGAAAGGTTTTATACAGTACTGGAGGCCGCATAAATAGCTTAACAGGGAAACCCCTTTACCAGTTCAAAATATCTTTTAAAAGTGCCTTTGTGTTGATAAAAGAAAACTTTTAAATTGATGCAATATGGAATGGGCAAGATAAGAAACCACAAAAAATAGGTTTAATGTGAAATACACAGCTTGTTTTTAACAAAAATAAAAATATTTAAGATTTCCAATCAAAAGAATGTGTAGATTTATGTGTGTGTAACTTTTGCTTATGTTGCTACGTGACTTCTTGGGTAAGTGTTCAAGTATGTGCATGGTGTTGTGGGGAATGCTGTCTGAATATGTTCTGTCTTTATTTGGAATTCTGCCATTTAGGGAAGATATCTTTATTTCGCTATATTTGTTAATTCATTTTGTAATAATCATATTGTTTCTCCATTGATGAGATTTCATCCACTGATTACTTGGTGTAGGAAGGTGACCGAACCCATCACACCTATATTTTTGAAGTGCAGTGTGTACTTAGGAGCTTGTGTTAGCAGGAAATTATATTAGCAAGACATGGAATTTGTGTTGGCTAATAGCTCTCATTTGTGTGGTTAAATATTTGTGTAGACAGAATCCCTGTTTTCCCTTTATGCAGTTGCAAAGTTTGACATTTCCAAAACACAATAACTGGTATTTCATTGTATTTATTAACATCAACATTAGTATTCCATTTATAAATATCTGCCATTCTCTGTATTTTCTTGTATTAAGCCTTCAACAATATCAAGATGCTTATTATAAAGTTCTGGCTTCTGCAACCAATATGTATGAGCTAAGGTGTTTTTATTATTTATTTATTTGTGTTATGGTGGCACCCAAAGGCCCCAGAAAGAATAGATTCCCATTGTGTCAAGTACTGTACAAACAATTTAAGTGTTGACTTCTTTCTCTGTGGAATAATGTGCATCCTTGTCTTTGCAGTGATCATCAGGGTCATTTGAACCAAAATGAAGCCTTGTTTATTAGATTGGGAATTTGAAAGAGTCTCTCTCTCTGTAAAAATGATCTATTTAAGCAGCTCACAAAGTGCCAATAACTGTAGGCACTGGATAATTTAGCATTTATATATCCCTTGACATGGTCAAAATATGTTACAAACATTTAATATTAATATTCACTCCATCCAATGAGGTAGGTATTGTATGTATAATTATCCCTATTTTACCAATGGAGAAACTGAGGTGTGGAGGTGAAGTGACTTGCTAAAGGCCACACACCAAGTCAGTGGCAGAGCCTGGATTAGAACTCAGGACTTCCTCATCTGTGCTCATTAATTCAGATGGTCTGAGTGGGAGGAAGAGAGATCATGGGAGGACTAGAGTTTTAGGAGAGGCTTCAGTGGGAACGGGGAGGATGGTATATTAGTGGAGGTGTGTGGTCCCATTAAAGCTGAGGACTGTCTTGTAAGAGGGATGGGCTGAGTGTGAAGGGAGTACACTGGGAGTTGAAGCATAATGGTAAGAAATCTGGAGTTGGAAAGCAAAAGAATTGCTAGTGCAAATGCTGAGCCTGCAGAGAGAGAGTAGCAGATCCTGATGTTGAAAGTCACCTTATGTGTATCCTTTTAAATGTGTTTTATTTTAGTAATTCTATTACATCTAAATTATAAATGTGCAAATGCATTATTAGTAACTAGGATGCGTACTTAGTTGCTCCACCTTGGTGAAATTTGCTACTTCATACAAGCTTGGAAAGCTTTTTTGATGTGTACATCAAGAGATGATTAAAAACCTTACTGCTAAGTAGGAACTACATTGGTTTCTTTCCTCCTTCAGGAATTTTATTTATTACTACTTGTGTGTGTAAGCGGGGGAATGGTCCCGCTATTTCCTGGCTTATACACGACCCCGGTGAAGTGGGCTAGCGAAATGATCTGAGTCCTCACTCCCACTTCCTTTACCCAGAGGCCTGCCTGACCTCGAGGGCTCCCCATCCACGCTCCTGTGTGGCAGAGTCCTCGTATCCCCAACAAGGCTGGGCCCAGGATTCCTGGGGGGCTCAACCCCCAACCTTGTTGTGGTCACTTAGGGCAGGGGTTGGGTGTCCCCACTCCGGGGTGCTCTCTCTGCACTGGACACTTCCCTGACCCAGTGATCATACATACAGTTCAAAGCAAATACAATTTATTAAAAAGCAATCAATTTTAAAATATAAGAAAAAAAATGGGAATGGTTAAAGGAAAACACGTAACCCCGCTCTGTGGCATGGGGACATCACAACCAGCGTCTCTGGAATGGAAGAGAAGTTCAGTCTGTTCCTCACAAGTCCCAGGCCCCTTCTCAGGCCCTGGCTGTGCTGCAGGGATGCTGTGGGTCAGACACTTGCTCTGGGATGGCCACATGCTCTCAGACTCTAGGTGGCAGGACCCTTCTTCCCAGCATCTCCCCCACCCCATCGGGTTACGATCCCCCTCCAAGTCTGGCCTCCAAGGCCTCTTGGCTGGGGGCATCTCCCTGCGCTGGGCCCGCTGCCCAGGGTCCCCCTCGCTCTCACCAGCTGCTCACCACACTTGGCTTCAGACTGCTCCAGCCCCAGCTCCACTCTGCCTCAGCACTGCCGCTGCTC